TGTCGTCTGTTCTTCTGCTAACAGTATTGTTACTGAGTGGCACAGCTCTTACATCTTCGTCATCTTTTTCAAGAACCGTTTTAAGAAATGCTGATATTTACGGTTTTGTTAAATTCTCTCCTATAGTTATGATTTTTCCAGATTTAGTGAAGAGTAAAGAAATTTGATAACTAGCTTCAGGAATACGATTATGAGTTGATGTGCGAGCAGTAAATAGAGACTTTACTGTTGTCCTCTTTTCGAAATTTTTTTTATAAGTAATTCAAATCTGAATTAATATGAGCATTATGTTTCGCCTTCAAATGCGCCTCAAGATGATTCATTGATTCGTTGGTCAAGCATTGCTGGCATAAAAGACAAAACGGAAACCTCTCATCGTGGACAGCAGGTATGAACCCAAATTTTAAATATTCCTGTCTGCTTAGTGAGATTTTAAAGCGTTAGGGAGTCCACGCCAAGCCTGCCGCAGGGAAGTTAACTTGATGACGCCAAAACCCCAGTTGATATTTTAGACTCGTCAAACGAATTTATAATATTTATTGGCCGCAATTTTTTAAGAATTTGCTTTTTTCTTTCAATTTTTGCACCGAAATCTAACATTGCATTTAAATGGCCCGGAGCAAAAGGGTTAAACTTGTGTCGAGTCCATTTTCAAATTGCCCCCCCCCCTTAACACTCAAATGGCCCCCTCGTGGGGCGTGGGACCCACATTGGGAAACACTGGTCTGAACCCTATAATTAATAAATAAATGAGAAAAAAATATGTCCTACGGTGTTAAATCGCATGATCTGAGCAGCTATTCTAATTCCCAGATGAGGAAATTACACGACTAGCGATTAATTGAACAACAGAGTTGGATCTTAAATGAAAAAGCGAACGAGAGAAGGAAAAAAAAAACGAAAAATTCGAGTTTAAGATTTACTTAAAAAAATTAAAGGAAAAGAGAATTTCCAATAGTATTGTATGAAAATTTCTCTTCAAAGGGTACAGTTAATTCTTCATTCATATTTTACTTCTTTTAAAAATTTAAAATGAATTAAATAAATTTTGAATCAATGCTGCTTGATTTATTAAAGAACATCTGCCAAATCTGTTAATAGAGCTTTTTTTTTTCTCTTTTATATGGCAACACAAGTATAACTGTAAATTACAGTCATTCAAACTAAATGTGGTACATGTTTTCATGAAAATAAAAATCTACGAGTAAAAGCTAAAAATTTCGAATAAATTAAATAATCTATTTAGTTTTGAGTTAAAAAAAACTTTATAACTCAAAAAACACTTTAGTAAAAATTATCCACAATTTGATTAAAAGAATTTTAGGAATAAAATTTATCATTGACCAAACTGTACACTATTAATAATTAAAAAGAAATAATACAATAATGGTGGGCAGCAGCTGTATATACATTGTTATTATGTTATGTTGTTATTAGGTTAAGTTGTTATTATGTTATGTTGTTATTATCTTCCACCGTTATTAGAATGCTTATAAGAAATAGCATATAATTTAACTTAATAATAATTGTCCACGTATTAGAAAATTAATAGAACATTGCTTATCAATTAGCAATGCAAATGTTAGCAAATTTCATTACAATTAATTTTCAAGATTGTATTATATACGGTATAAGAATTTTAAATAACTGGGCTCGGACAGCTTGAATTTTCGACTTTAGTTACATGTTTTCCAGTAAATGAAAGTGTTTGTGGTTTATGTATCTGAAAAAATTACGAAAGAATTTTGAGCGGTAAGAGTATTTAGTTTTTAAAGTACATTATAGATGGCAGCACTAAAGTAAAAGAGAAGGTTTACGTTTTGTTCTTTTGAGCCAAAAGTTTATTAAATGTAAAAATAAAATAAATGAGTCATAAATTTGATTTAAGACCAACTTATTCATAAAAATCTGAAATATTATTCCTTTTTAAAATTATAAAGACATTGAAAAATTGCTCTCATAGAAGAAGTGTGTATTCTTAAATTTAATTTTACAGAAATTTTTTAACTGAATTTACGATAATTGTTTAATTAATTGTTATTTAAAATTTCCTTATTTAAAAACAACAAGAAATCTATAAATCACTATTTAATAAGATAATAATAATTCATTTTTAAAAAATTTTTGTTTAAAAATGATCTTATGAGTAAGTTAAGAAATGTTGAGTTTTAAGTTTAAAAATATTTTGAAGCTCGTAATTGATTCTAATGATATGGTGAAAAGTGTAAAAGTCAAAATAACAAACTACCCGAAACTTCGATCGATTTTCATGCTTCCTGCCTCAACTATTTGGGAAATAGTTTTCAAGACTGCGGTTAATAGGATTCATATTTCATAAGTCAAAACTCAGAAAACATCAAAAATTAATAATTAAATAAGAAAATTAAATAAATTAAATAAATTAATAATAAATTTATAAATAAGTAAATGAAAAGGTAAACAATAAAAACTGTTCGGACTAGTGATATTACTGTGAATTTCACTTCGGGCAGTACAGTTTGTGAAAACAACGTAAGTGCTTCACAATATATATAGAGAGAAAAGAGGCTTGACACGTATTTTCTTTCTATTGTTGTTGTTGTTTCTAATGCAACTTGCCTATTAACCAGCAAGCCTGCTTGGTGAAAGCAAGCGAATTTAAGACAGAGATTGCGTTTCTTATTTTTAGAGTGGCGACATTTATTTCTATCAGCCACACACACGTCACAGCCCGTTTTTAAAAGTAGTGGACCACGTTACACAGTGGTGCACGTTACACAGTTGTAACGTGCACCAGTCACTATTTATAAAACGGGTAGCATCTTTGGTTTTTGAAGATCGAACTCACGACCTCTTGGACTTCGTCTCAGCGCCCAACCATTCGGGCTATCCCAACCCTCTTTCCATTGTTAATGCTATAAACGCCAAAATAAAATTTCCAAAAACTGACGACACAAAATTTATTTTTGGAACATTTTTCTCGCAATACGTAGCTTATCATAAAAAAATTCCAGATATAAAAAATTCTTAATTTTGAATTTTCTGTCGTTCTAGTTGCGATTTTTATATTTATTGCTCGGCAAGTATATTTAATGTAGACCTTTCGAACTAATTCCTACTACGAACTAATTAATTTTTTTCCTAATTTAGGTCTTGAAAATCTAATCATAAAGTAGTACTATCATAAGGCACATCACACTATTTAATTTTATTTATATTTATTAGTTTATTTAATATTTTTGCTCGCTGTTTACTGCACAATATCTAAATAAGCAACATACACCAGGTATAAATACTTTTTTTATTTATCCACATTGAGCAATATTGATGCAGCTCTTAGCTTAATATTGAATTTCATAAACGCATAATTTTGAATCAACTCAAAAGAAAGGTCTTTTTTCTTTTCCTTTGTTTCGGATGTTTCATTTGATGTTTAATTATCGTTTTAACTTTACATAATATCTACTTCATAACAGTGCTTGACTGATATATTTGTACTGTTTGTGTGTTAGCGCCGTTTAACTTTTCCCCAAATCTTATTCCTTACAAAATATCTGTTTTAATTGGGGGGGGGGGGAGGAGGACGAAATAATTGCATTTTATTGCAATCAATGTAATGGTAGAATTTTTAATTTTAATAATTTAGAAATTTCCTTTTAACCACCAAGCTTCAAAAATTATATCCTTTATCTTATTATGAAATGGATGAAAAAGTAGTTAACATCAAAATTAGGATTTAAAGGAAATTTTTTATAACTACCCATTAAGTATACGTTAATGATTTTAATCAACAGAAATTTGAAGGGTTTTATGAATAGTTTATTAAAAAAGAGAAATAAAAACTTAAACATACGACTTCTTTGAAATGGTGAAATAAAAAAGAAATAAAATTAAAACTAAGAAGCCCCCCAAAAAATGTCGACCGTTTTTCTAAACTACTGGAACCCTATTTTTCAGTTTGCTGTTTTCCTTTTCTCCCACATTTTATTTTATAATTCTTATATTTTGTAACTTTCGCTGAACAACAGATCCAATTTTTCTGGTTTACGACTACTAATGTTCAACTATGTAGCCTTGTAATTTTGAATCCATACCAGAAGACAAGGGAACTCCTGGATTAAGTATTAAAATTTGCCTTCGAGGAGGACTTTTTGATGGAACTAACCCGCATTTGCGTTACATGGAGAGGAAGACCACGAAAACCTCCCACGATTAGCCTGATAGCATGATCCGTCCACCACTGAGGATATTCACGGCAGTACTGTGGTCGGTGCGGAATTCGTATTGAAGGTACCCTAATATTATAACGGTCGTTAAATAGCCGACCCAATTTTAAGTTTGCAACTGCCAATACTCAGTTCCATAGCCTTGTAATTTTGAACCCAATTCAGGAGACAAGGGAACTTCTGGATCGAGTATTGAGAGAAATTTACCTTCATGGAGGGCTTTTTGATGGAACTAACCCGCATTTGCATTACATGGAGAGGAAAACCACGAAAATCTCCCATGGTTAACCTGGGGGCAATGGAACTATAAACCCATGATGCGCCTACCATTGACGTTAACTTTTCGTCAGCATTGTGGTCGGTGCGAGTTTGGTGCGGAATTCGTTTCGACCAGTCATTGCGGGGATTCGAACCCGGGTCACCTCATTGGAGGGCGAAAGCATTATCCCCTGCGTCATCGCGACTCCCCATATTTTGAGTGTCAAGAATCTAAATCGTTCGAAAAAGAAAAGGTATATGTATGCAGAGAAATTACGTTTTTATTGTTAAACGTATTGTATGGTCTGCATTATATAATTAGCACATTTGAGGTTTGGCCCTTTAACCATTAAGACCGATCATTGGATCAAAAAATGCTTAAAACATTCGCATTTATGTTTCGCTTTTGCGCAATGTACAATGCGCTCTGGTGCTTTTTTTTAAACACGCTTTCAATCCAGAAAAATTAAATCATTCGTTTGTTATTTATTTATTTAAAAAGAAAAAAAGAAGCATTAATATTTTTTTTTTACTAACCACTACTGCTGTCGCTATCGTCTGCGTCTCCATGGTAAAATGATTCTCCGTCAGAAAAAGAAAAATTCGATGCATCCGTCGATGTTCTCCTCGATGAAGATGAGCAGTTGGACACAAAAGACGACCTCTTGCTTCTGTTATGGTTTGAAGGACTAAGTTGTCCAGCACTGAATGTATGCCTCAGTGTCGCCCCATAATTCTCAAGATTGAAATTACTTACAAACACGGCACTATTCCTTTTAAAGTTCTGGATGAAGGTGTCTATTTGTTCTTCAATTTGACTGTGAGAATTTCTGAGAGGCATAGCTTCTATTCTATGTTTTCAAACACATTGTCAAGAAGTTCTTTTCGGCTTCGATATTGGGAAAATTGTTATAACTCACTGTATATTATTTCTAAATCATGTCACAAATTTATAAAGTATATATTCTAAGTGTGCTGAAACATTATTTCTAAATCAAGTCACGAATTCATAGAGCATGAATTCCAAGCGCGGTGAAACATTGTTTCCAGTTCATGTCACAAATTCATAGAATATAAATTCCAAGTGTGGTGAAACATTAATTCAAAATCATGTTACAAATTCATAGAGAATATATTTCAAGTGTGGTGAAATATTCTTTTCTTTTTTCTCGCACATGAAAATGTCTATTTTTCAAAACGGTCAAAATGTTTGAGAAAATTACGTTACCATAATTCTCAAAAAATATTTAAAACGGGAAGATTTAGAATTGTCCAAAATAGTGAGGATTAGGGAAATTTCAATGGCAATAACACGAATTGTATATTTTGAATATATTTTTTAGATATCAATAATTCTTTTGATACACATTTTGCTTAAAATATTTTCTGAATTTCGTTTTCCTTGAAATAATCCACAAGTATCTTCGAAATCTGAAAAAAAGAGAAGATGAAAAAATCAATATTGTATTTCTTCCCTAAACATAGTCATAAACTTAACTTAAATAGCAAACAAATTATTAAATTCACTCACACAACAAATCCCTTAATTATGTTACTTTGTGCTTTATCTTTATCTATTTAGAGCTTCTGAATTCCAGAAATAACTCTTATTTCGAATTTTAGAATCATTTCATCTGTAATGATGAAATTTCAATCTGAAATTCCTAGATGAAAATTTTAAAATGTTTGTCTTTAATACAATGTCTTAGTTTAATATTTAGAATATTTTGATATATGCAGTGCAGAAAAGAAAAAAAAAGAAAACATTATAACTTTTGATATATTGATTGGATTTTCACGCACAAGATGCAATCTTAATAATTCGATGGGCTAACCTTAGATAAGCTAATTAATTTGACCAAACGATAATTTAGGTTATGAAATCAGATACAAAAAACTAACGTTTTCGAAGTAAACAAGCTTTTTTTTTACCGAATTTTAATCGGGTACTTGCAACTCGAGAAGAAGACGATCACATATTTTGATTTTTTGGTTTCATTTACAAAAATTATAAATACATATATTGTAGATTTTTTAATGTTAAGTTTCTTTTTTTGCGTATATTTTAAACTTAACGAAGCAAACTGACAAAGTTTTATATAATTATAAAACTTGTATAATTATTGAACCTGTTTATTTTAAGATAATTAGATAAGAAAAATTATTTCTTTTATAAATACTTATTATTTTAAATTTTTTAACTTATTAACTGTCGAAACATTTTTGAATTTAAAGGTAAACAAATTTCTAAATCAACTAATCTATGTAATTTTAAGTAACAAAATCCACAATATTAAAAGAATATGTCGAACAGTTCATTAGAAATAAAACTTTAAAAGTACGACTTTTTTCAGATGGCGAAAGGCGCAAAAAGTGAAGTTAACGTTGACCCATTGATGAAGATGGGACACCATTTGTACAAAAATATATAGTCAAAAATAAGCAGTTTTCAAATTTTTTTTCCAATCATTTTCAAAAATTTATCAATAATTAATTTTGTAAATTAAAAACCTTCAATGATGCATAGCTGAATTCTCTTAGATCTAATTGACAACAAATAAGTGCAAATTCTAAAAAGTATTGTTTGGGAAGGAGCCTTATTGGAAAACTTAACCTTAATGCAGAAAATACACCGGTATTTCATAACTTAAGTTATTAAAATGGTAAATATTTTACTTATTTGACTTAAATTAATACAAAATATTTGAAAAAATATGAAAAATATGTTTAATAAAAATTCTGAGCTAAAGGTTTAAAGGATTTAAAAGCATCTCGAGAGCTCTTCTGACCATACTGGTCTCGACTCCTAATATGGTCCCCATCTCCTACTGGAATCATATTTTCGAGATTGTGGCCTTTCATATTTTGAGCTTGAAATGCCCTAATCTGTTGAAAATGATGTTTTTCTGGGAAAGTACTTTGTGTCTGACTTAGCTTAAAATGCCGTTTGAGCGAATTAGTTGGTATATTTAAGGTAAATCGCTCAAATTTCCGCTTTTCTTTTCTTTTCTTAGCTTACTGTCCACAGAAAATGCAACAACATATGCATTTATAATTCTTGCAATATTATTGATAATTACAGCTAACTATTTCTTTTTAATTTTTAATTAAGAGGAAAAAAGGCATCGAAATCAGATAATTCAGTAAAAAAAAAGTATTTTTCAAAATTTCAAACGTTTTAAAAATCTTGTTTTGACTGTAAGGCTGCATGAATTTAGCCGATACAAAACCATTTAAGTTTTTGAGTTGCATATTTGCCTTACAAACATGCGTGCAAGCATAAGTCACGCACGTTTTTCATATCAGGAAAATGTAAAACCACAGTAATATTGCCTTATAAATAGAGATTTTTGACTTTTTTTATAAGCCGCTTAAAAGTATTTTTTGTTTATAGTTAAAACTTTTGTGAAAAACGATATCTGTACAAAAGTGTATATTTCTTCCTCAATGAAATCAACCATTTTTTCCCCATTTTTATTGATTTTTATCTTAACACAATTATCTAACTGTTCATTTCTTTTACATGTTATTTTACTACCTGAAGACCGAAAACATGTTGTTTCAGATACATGTAGCTCCGTATATTTTAATTATCGTGCATTTAAAAAGATAATAATAAATATATATGAGGATAATTTACTCCCGTTCATTTTCTTCGAAATGAATTCTTATTCCTGATTTGACGAATGAAATAAAATTTCAAAAAATTCAATTGCAGTGAAATTTGGATGTTGAGAGTAATTTTGAAAGATATATGTTTTATGCGATTCATTTTAAGCAAATGGATAAATAAAAAAACTTTTTTTTTGCTTATTTGTAAGCCAGATCAATACGCAGGAATATTTATATAAATATTAAAAATTGCCTGATTTCATAGAGATTTTTTCACCCATCAATGCGCAATACTAATTTTTCTTTCGAATTATATACATTTTAAAACCATTTATGCCATTTATTTAAAACCATAAGACTGCATTTTATTTTAATAAATAAAATGCTGTCTTAGAATGTTTATTTAAAAAAATGAATAGTCTTTAAAACTTACATGTATAATGCCAAAAAAAAAAAAAATCTTTTATTCTAAAAGAAGGAGAAGTGAAGTGATTAGGCCCAACCACGTGATTTAAATATGATTTAAAAGGATGCCTGTAAGTGACGTCGCACATATGTCTCGAACCTGATTGACTTTTGAATCGACAATACCAAGATTTACTTACGATGACGTCACTTGCAGGCATCACTTGCAGTAGAGCCCCTGAATTAGTCCCGACTCATCATCTATTTTTGCTCCAAAGAGCTAACATAAGCACAATACTAACATAACGTTAACTTGTGAACTTTTTTGCTCCAATATTGCTTGATAGGTCAGCTCTGATAGTATAGGAGCCTTAACTTGCAGGTATCCAATTGCATTTAATAAAATATGAGTATAATGCACACCAACCAACAGTGACAAAGCATCTTGTTTCTTTTTTTCAGGACTTCATCTTTTAATTAACGAGGTTGAAACGCTATTTAATTTTTAATCCCGGTAAGACGACGTGGACAGCGCCTGACCTGGTACCCGTCTCTGTAAAGTTCCACCCCACTTCAACGTAAAGTTGACAATGCGACAAAAAATGAAAAAAAAAAAACATTTACGCTGTGCTTTGAAGAAAGAAAAAAAGAAGTTAACGTGGTAGAAACGCTATTTAATTTTCAATCCCGGTTAAGATGACGTGGATCTTATAATATAACTGTTCAAGCTGACGTCACTTCATTTCGAAACGTCATTTCATTTCACTTCCAGTGGCAAACCATCATTCATCAATCAGTTACAGATGAACCGATTGGGGATACGAATCGTCCAATAGGAATAGCGCAAACAACTAATTGTCATTCACAACCACAAAATTATGGATTTATGATTTATTAGATATTTTTGATTTATTCTACTCAGTAATATAGTTTAGCCTCTGGCATCTCTAATGAATTATTTTGAAACTTGGAAAGCAAAAGAGCTAGTGATAAACAAAAGTTGTTGTTTTTTAATAATAATAATTTTGAAAGTATTTCGAGATATGTTTATTCAAGCTTTGTTGAAAAAACTTTTTGAAAAAAAGTTTTTGTATACAAGCAGATTTCCTTTCAACAAATTTTGTTTTGTTATTGCATAGACTTGAGGAAGCGGAAAATGAGATTTCGGAAAAATCTCAGGAAGAATATCGTGGTTGTCATGGTAACCATAAAAGGATTTCGCTTTTGATCACCACGACATTACTTTATTTGTCATAGTTCATAATGATAGATAAAACTGAATTGGACAGTAGATAGTTAGAAATAAAAATATCTAGCTTTACGTTTCCGAAACTTGTCCACTTTGTAAACATGATATTTCGTATTGACTTTAAGATGAAAAAGAAAGATAACCGTAAATGGACTTCTAAAGTTACTTTAATAATATCTTTTGTAATATGATATTTTTAATTACAGAAAATTCATTTTTATCTGGAATACTAAATGAACTTAATAATAGATCTTAACTAATGTTTTTAAACTGAAACAAAAAAATAATTTTGAATATTTTAAATTAAATTAGATTTATTTTGAGATTTCAATTCGCGATCGCAACGCTCGAGTACGCCGTCTAGCGGGAGCCTGTAAATATCAGACATTAATTTATCACGTTTTCATTTAGTTCCATCAAAGTCATTGACTGAATCAGACGCCATTTTTTAGCAGCAAATAAGAAACAAAATTTCCCTAAGGAAAAGGCCGAAGAACTTGAAAAAAATCTCCAGAATATTAGTAAATCTTTCAGGAACAGAACACGCCAAACATTTGAAGAAAAATTCCTCAATAATTTTTAATTTCTATTATCAACAAACTTGCAACTGATGACTTCCGATTTCGGATACTGTTACAGATGTGTGTATTAAGGTAAAATGCATTTCTTCTGTCTTCAATTCATTACGAATTAAAGTGAAGTCAACATTGC